TTAACGTTTTTTATAATTATTATTTTTTTTTTAACGGAATTTAAATCCGGTAAATGTTGGAAATTTGGTAATTTATTAAATATTTAACCCCGGCACGAAGGTTAATTTTAAAATGCTTAAAATTTGCGTTATAGGACCTTTTTACGTTTAAAGGATAAACTTTGCACCCGTAAGCGTAAATGCCGTTTTAATCCGGTTTTAAATCGGTTATTAAATTTGTAAAAAGTTCCGGGGCGTAATGCCGGAACCATTTCCGAAATTAATTTAAAAAAATGTTATTAAAAGCGCGCATGCTTTTTAACGGTAAAAAATTTATATTTTTTAGCTAAACGGTAACGTAAACCGTTTCCGGCTATAAATGTTTAAAAAGTTTTGCGCTTTTGCGCATGCGTATTTTTTTCGTAATAACGTTTTATTCCGTGCGTTTAATTATTCCGTTAAGCTCGTAAGTGTATAACGGTAAGGTTTCGATAACGATGCTTTTAATTTAAGCCCATTTTTCGTATTTTAAAAACCCTTTTATAAATATAATGGACTTTTTTTGGTCGTATTTAAAAATAATAATAAGCAATTCGTATTGTTTTTTTACTTACGCTTTTTATTCCTTTAAAATTTTAGTAACCGTTAATCCCTTTTTGTTTAAAAATATAAAGCTTTAAATTTTGCCGTTGTATTTGTTTATTAATAGCAAAATTTAGTTTATCCTTAACTTTAACTTAAGGTAATTAAATAAATTAAACCAAACCTTCCAAAAAAGGCGCATAGCCTTTTTTATAAAGCGTTTGGAAACAACGGCTATAGCATAAATTGTTGCGCATGCTTTGCATTTAATCCGTTTAGGTCCTTTAATTTTAACGTTCCGGGCGTTCCAAACGAAAGCTTTTAGCGTTTATAATTCCAAATAACCATTGCGCAAATGCCAAAAATCGGCGATATTTTTTCGCGGTTTCGTAAAGTTTAAAAATGGACGTTACGTATGCGTAATACGTTTGCGGCGTAAAAATTTTTTAATTGCAAAGGTTAAAACCGTATCCTTTGGGAAAAATTGCAACGTAATTAATATAAAATAAATAACAACAGGTTTGTATTTATAAAACATTACGTTATTTTTGCGCTAAAAGCGTTTAATTACTTTTCCGTTAATAACTTTCCCAATGCGCAAAATCGCGTTTTTCCCGCAAAATTACACCCTTTTAACGTTTAAACGGGTTTTCGAAATAATATTAATATAAAAGCTTTTTACCAAAACGACGTTATAAAGCTTAAAGTTTCCGTTTCCGTTTAAAAAGCTAAAAAGCGTACGAATGCTACGTTTTAAAATTGGAAAGTATTAAATACCGCATTGGACCGTTTCGGTACTATTTAACGATTGGAACGACCTTTCGTTAAAACGTTTTTTATCGTTAACGATATAAAACGAACCGCAATTGTTAAATAGCGTACTTTCGAAATAAATGTTTTTTATAATGTTAAAAGCTAAAAAAACGCTTTAAAGCAAAGGCATTTTAAGCACGGCCGCGTTTAAATTTTACTTTTTTTTAAAGTTTGGGAACCGGAATTTAACGCGCTTTCGGTTTGCTTTTTTTAAACGGAATTTTTAAATTTGCTTTTGGAAAAAAAAAACTTTTTAAATAATTTTTAACGGTTTTTTTCCAGGGATTTTTTAATTTTTTTGTATTTTTCGTTGTTTAGCTTGTTGCGAAAGCGTTTAAAATTGCCGGTAAGTACGTAAACGAGTTTTTAGCAATTTTTCGGTTTTTAAAGATGGTTTTAAATGCAAACCGGGCATTTGTACGTTATCGCGTTATTTTGTTAAATATTTTTAGCTTTTTCGTTTTTATTTTTAAATGCGCCCCCGAAAATTAAGAACGCAAGTTTTTTTTTAATGCCCGAATTATTAATGCGGTGCTAAAAAAGGATCGTTAAAAATTTGGTAATTAAAGTATTTATTTTTTCCGTAAAGTTGCCCGTAATTATTTTTTAACGGTAGCGCTTTGCTTAAAAAGGGTTAAAGCGTTTTATATGCTTAAAAAAGTTAAACATAAGCGTAAAGCTTTGTATTTTAAGGACGTTTTTAATTTTGGCTTAAATAAAAATCGTTTGGAATTTCGGGAATTATTGGTTAATATTTGTAATGCTAGCGGCCTTTTTAAGCGTATTGCGGTACTTTTAAAAAATTATTTAAATTTTTATTATAAAGGTAAAAGCGTAAAGCGCTTTTAAGCAAATAATGGTATTACGGAAAGTAACGTAATTGTTGGCTTAAACTTTTAATTGCGCGTTTGCAAGCGCAATAAAATCCATGGAAAAATTAATCCATTTAAAAAGGGTTATAATTTTTTTCGAAGCGGTTTTATTCGCGGTATCCTTTGCTTTAAGCGCTTTTTTATGCTTGGTTTTAAAATTACTTTTGGTAAAAACCGAAAAGGCTTGGAAAGGTTTAGGATTAAATCTTTGCGTAGCTTTGCTTTTGCTTTGTTAAGCCTTTAAGCAAACCTCCTTTTTTTCGGTTAAAAAGATCGTTTGTTAAGCTAGGCGTTTAAATTTATGGTTTTTAACGTGCTTAGCCCAAGCTTTTGCTGCGAAAAAGTTAAAATTTAAGGTTTTATTGGTTTGTACGTCGTTCGGGAATTTTAAATTAAAATTAACCTAATTCCAAATCTTTAAAATTAATGCGTTTTAACGAAACGCCGTGGATTACGTAAGCTATTGCTTTTAATTTTTAAACAACGCTGTTACGAAAAGATCGTTATCCGTACCACCCATAATTGGTAGCAACCGGAAATTCGTAAAAATAAAACGGTAAAAAATAAAAGGTTAAAAGCTTTAAAAGCGTAAAAACGTAAAAATTAAAAAAATAAAATTTGATAAGGGTTTTTAATAACGTTCGGGATTAATAACGGAGCTTGTTTCGGTAAAAAAAACTTTGTTAAAGGAGGTTTTGGAAGCGTAAAAATTTTTCCGTAAAAAAATCGCGGAAAAGAAAAGGAAGATAAACGCGCTTGGAGGAGCGCGTTTAAAAACGATTTGATAAAGGTAATAAAAAGGGAATAAATCCGTGCTGCTAAGCCTTTTACTTTACGTTAAAGGGTTTAAAAGTCGCCGGGTTTATAATTGTTGCAAGTAAAAGGGATAAGCACGGTGTAAGGCTATTCCGGTTAATATGCTTTAAAAAGGAAAGGATTTAAAGTGCAAGGTCCCGTAAAGGCCTTTGCCCTTTATATACACGTAACTCCTTATCCTTTTTGCTTACTAAGCTTCCCTTTTAACGCTTGGAAGCGTTATACGCTTCCAAGCAAAGGGACCGCTTTTCCAATGCCTTAAGCATTTAATATTTATGCCTAAAGCTTTTTTACAACAGTATATACTATTTACTTTGTAACATGCCGCTTTACGGAAACATTTATTTTTTATCCAAAAAAAATTAAAAACTTTCCGGGGGTATTTTAACAAAATTATAGCAAAAGGTTAAATCCGGCATTTAATTAGCCCCGCCGGCGCTAAAATTTTATTCGTTTTAAAAAAGGACGGAAAGTTCCGCCTTTGTATTAATTATCGGGGTTTTAATAAAGTTACCAAAAAAAACCGGTTAACATTCCCGTTAATTTACGAAATATTCGACCGGGTATTTAAAAATTAATATTTTACTAAATTGGATTTAAAAAACGCTTATTACAAAATACGGATCCGATAAAAAAACGAATAAAAAATTGCTTTCCGTTACAAATATGGACATTACAAATACTTAATAATGCTTTTCGGTTTGGCCAACGCCTTAATAACGTTTTAAAACTTTATTAATATAGCGCTTGGAAAATTAATTAATAATAATTGCATTGTATATTTAAACGATATTTTTATTTTTTCGAAAATATAAAAAGAGCACCGCGAAATAATAAAAACGGTGCTAAAGCGATTCGAACGGTTTAAATTTTACGTTAGCCCGGCTAAATGCGAATTCGAAACGGATAATATCGATTTTTTAAGGTTTAAAATAACCAAATTCGGGGTCGAAATTTTACCGGATAAAGTTATTGCAATTTTAAAGTAAAGAATACTAAAAAG